ATTCTCATCAAATTGTCTTCTTCTAAACACAAGACGCTTTGCTGGAAGTGATGGTTCTATATTCATATCAAATGCTAGACTTTTGGCAATTTCCATGCAAGACTCAAATCCTTCATTTCTATACTTCTCAAAGAATAACATTACACTTTCCACTTTATTAGTTGTAGTTCCAATTCACATAGATTTAGATTGTAATTTCTTGCTCACCTTATTAATAGTAAATAAAATCTCATACCAAATCACCAAGCTAAGTAAAAACTCAAAACTTGTAAGAGTTTTAGCTAAACTTTCTGCTTCACTTTTTGTTTTGGCATCTTCACCACTAAAATTATACAATGCCAACAAATCTAATTTTATTTGAAGTGCTTGAAATCTAAGCTTTAACGCTTTTTATTTGACTCTCCCATCGAGTATTACATAAAGATTTCACTATAAAATCTTTAACATTATCAATTAAAATCTTCCATTTTTTTAGTAGAACTTACAAATAATGTGTATATGCGTTGCATAATTCCAAAAAAAGAAATAGCTTTCACATAAAAATGAGCCATGTCCGATAGAGTGAGATTAAAACTATGACAAGCACATGACATATATAAAGCCCTTGGATTTATTTCAGGTAACCTCTTTTGAACCCCTTGGTGTTTCCCTTTCATATTATAACATTATCATAACATTGACCTCTAATATCATTAACATCTAAATCATGTGACTTGCATACACTTAATAATTCATTAAAAATGCCCAATCCATATGTATCATTTATATTTAAGAACTCCCAAAAAATTCATCTATTTTTATTTCATTATTTGACACATTTACATATCTTATTATCAAACTCATTTGTTCTTGATGGTTTTCATATGTGGTTCAATCAAGGATAACATAAAAATATTTTGCCTATTTAATAATCCTTATTATAGAAGTTTTAATACTATGGACTAAAAGAGGAATCAACTCATTTTAAATTTTAGGACCAAGATAGTGATGATGAATTTCTTGACTTTGGATACGCCTAACATGATCTTGCACAATTAAATCAAATTCAACTATCATTTCAATTAAACCTAAAAAATTATCATTACTATCCTTATAAAGTTTTCCACTAGATCCACGAAAAGCTAAATTATTTTTGACAAGACATTTGACAACTGATATTATTCTTATTAAAACTTTTCTCCAACGTTCTTTTTCTTTTGAAATTCCTTCTTGTAAATCTTTATCAATACCTTTATTTATTTTTCTAATCTTAATCTTTTTCATTCAAAGTATTCATATTAGTTATATACTCTATACTATTCTCATGTTGTTTGAGTCTCTCACTCAAATGCTTCTAGTCATCCATTCCATCGTTTGTTAAAAGACTTTTGTTATTTTGAGGTGAACAATTTACAACAAAAACACTTTATTCACATGTTTAGAGTAAATCATCCATTTTCCATCAAGAGTTTCTCCATTGCTCAACTTTCTAGAAAAATATGAATATGAAAAATTTCTAGAAAAACTATCCTTAAGAAATATGAGATTCAATTCTCTAATGGGCCCTTTTTCAATCAAAATATCTTTAGTTTTAACATCAAGAACACCCCAATTTTTAGGATCATATATATCAAAAGAAGGAATTATGTGCTCATCAATGCCAACATCAATATTTGACTCTTCAAGTACATTATTCGAATTAGTTGTATCGTCACATTCAAATTTTCATCATTCACATTTTCATTAGAAAGTTCAATATAATCTTCATCTACACCGATCTATCATCATCTAAAGACTCTTTTACTTGTTTAGAATTTTTTTATCTAAAGCTCCTTTTTGTGATTGTACTAATTCTTGTGTTTGCTTTCCATTTTTTTCACTACCGAAAGCATATTTACGGGGCAACATTGTACTATGAAAATATGAATAAAAAAAATAAAGAATGATAACACTTGAGTCCTTATCGTTGAAGTTTTTCGGCTTTGTGTTACTTTTAGATAAATTAATCGACGATGTAATATACTCTCACTTGCATTATTATAATTAACAACATCAAAAAAAATTAAGAAAATATAATTGACAACCACAAAGTATAAACATAAAAGAATATTTAGAATATACATAAATATCATCAAACCTTTGTATCTTGATAAATGAATAACACAAAACAATAGTAACTTGATCACTTTCTTCTAGAAATTCAATAACTTGATTTACTTTTAAACTTGAATATATAATCTCACACTCAATAAAAAAAATTCTCTATTTCAAAATTTTACGTTCAATCTCTAATATAAAAAAATCACAAGAGAAATATCAGCTTTAAGAAATTTAATTGAAACAAAACAATAATTTTTTCAAGCATTATGCTCATTATAAGTGTTGGCTCTACTTTATTATAGCGGGCCGTCTTTTATTTTTATTAATAATACCATCAATCTATGTACTTTATCAGAAAAGGATGTTGTACTTTTAGGTTTCTTTTATAACTGTATTTCTTGGTTTTTGTGCCATTTTTAATGAATGACCAGCACGACAACACCAATGTTCAGAAAGAAAGACAGATTTAAGTATAAACGTTAATTTGTTACAACTTAAAACTGAAAAAGAAAAATTTAATTTTAACTTTTTGATGGGAGCCCTGGGCAGGTGCCCCTCCTGCTTAGGCCTAGATATGGGCTTCATAACAGTTTCACAACTTTTTTAACTTCATAATAGTTTGGATTACATCACTTCTTTAACTGTATTTTGTCACCTTTAAGTTTGGATTATTTCTACTGATCTTACAAATTCTGGATCATTTTACCACCTTTAAGTTCATGGCCATTAGATTTTGCAAAGTTTTTGTTGCTTAGTGTTCAATTAAAAAGGTCAGTTATCTAGATAAGAGAAATAACTGTATAATAATACAATGCGAAAACCATATGTCCTGATATCCATTTATTACATCACTCCTACATGAAATGCAACACAAAACGGTAGGTGATTCTTTCTCCCATTGAAACCCAACTTTATTTTCGAAATGTAAGCCCACCTTATAGAACACATAAAACCAAACATACCATCTAGATTTGGTGTATGATTATTTGTGCTCCATGCCGTGGTTGAAGAGTCATAACTGTGTATGGGGCATGGGAGTAGGAAGGTGAGAGCTTGAATGAGAAATGTTTCAGAACCATAGCTAAAACTACCTTGGCTTCAATCATGGTAAAATTGTCCGATGCAGGTCTCGGCCCCAGCCAAATGCGAAAACGCCAATTTATCTCTCGATGCCTTTGAAGCTCCTTCAGAAAATCGCTCTGGTTTGAATTCTTTAGCATTGTCACCACAAAGTTCAGGATCATGATTCATGAGCAGGATCAGAAGTGTTGTATCAACTCCAGTCGAAAGAGATATTTCTTTAATCTTGGTGTCTTTGTTAGTATACTAATATAAATAAAAATAAGTTGTGTAAGTTAAAAAAGTTGTGTAATTATCAAAACACAGTACACAAATGGAAGAAACATGGGTTGAAGAAGAAGAAGACTCAAACGATTGGTCAAATATGCTGAGTCAGCTAATTTAATGTGTCATGTTAGCATTTCATTACTACAATAACGATTTGTTAATGGTTGTTAATGATGCATGACTGATTTGTAACAAACAATAACGTTAGTGACTAATTTATAACAAATTATAACGTTAGTGACCAATTTATAATAAACGATAACATTAATGGTCGATTTGTGAATTTTCAAACATAAGTGGTAAAAATGAACACTTAACCAAACATTAATGACCATTTGCGTGGTATACCCTAAAAAAGTTTAATATAAAAAGCTTAATTTTTAAATCGGAGAAAATTCTAGAACATGGCAATTCACCACTAATTTTATAGGGTAAAATTTACAAATAGTCATTAAACTATATCAAAATTACTTTTTGAACATTTGATTTTTAAAAGTTACATAATGAATATTAAATTTTAATTTTGTTACAAAATAGGCACAGAACTATTAAGAAATATTTCATTTGACCCTTCAGTTATAACTAAAATTTAATTTTACTCTTAATTTTAATTGAAATAGTTTTTATTAGGTTCATTGAATTGAAAATAAAATAGATATGAATAAAATAAATATCATATTTTAATTTTATATTATAAATATTAAATTTGTACCATATAAATTAAACATTATTTGATATGATATTATAATATTATGGATGTATGAATTTTTAATTATATTTAAATTTTTTTTAATAAAATTTAAATGCTTAAATCACATCATTAATAATTTTATTATTATTTGATAATATAAATTTTTGGTAAATTATAATTTTTTTATTTTAAAAAATACAAAAATAATTAAATAAATAGATAGTTATAAAATGATTTTTTCTTAATAAAAAAATTAATTTCATTGTTGATAACTAATTTTTTAATTTTTTTTAAATTTTAAAAATAATTTATTTTCATATATTTTAAAAAACTTCTAAAACTTTTAATTTTTTAGAATTATTACTTAAAAACATTGAAAAATATTAAAATAAAAGTTTAGTTATAATTAAGGGGATAAATAAGATATTTTTCATTAATATAGTATGCTATGTGACCCCTTAATAACATTTAACGATTGTTACTTATTTTTTAACAAAGCTTAAAATTTAATGTCTATTTTGTAACTTTTAAAAATTTAATATTAAATAAAATCAAATTAAAAAATTTGTGACTATTTATGAATTTTATCCAAATTTTATATTAGTGATATATTTCAATGAATGCCATTTCCACTATATACTCATCCTTAAATTATAATTTTATAAAATATAAAAATCAAAATAGATCTGATGATAAAGTTTAATTAATAATGCAATTTAACTGAGAAACGAGGTTGCGACAAGTGCCCCGCGGTTCTCCCGGTAATCGCGGGTCTGAAGGCTGCGCGCGTGAAACCCAACTCTTCTTTCGTCAAAAACAGTTTTCACAGGAAGACTTAAAATATATATTAAAAAGAAAAACCCAAAAGTAAAGTTAAAGTAATACCTGGGCACTTCGCCGATCTCTCACCCAAAGAGAATAATCGAATCCTGAAGAATCAAAACAACAGATTTTTTCCAGTAAATTTCCTTGGAAGATATTTAGTTGAATGGACTTGTTAGATGCAAACTTGGAGCTCAAAGAAATTCAAAAGCTTCAAGGCCACTCCGATAGGGTTTGGAGCCTCGCTTGGAATCCCGCCACTGCTTCCGCCGATGTACCGGCGGTTTTCGCTTCTTGCAGTGGAGATAAGACCGTTCGAATCTGGGAGCAGAGTCCCTCCACTCGCTTCTGGGACTGCAAGGTCCTCTGTTACCCTCTATTGTTGATTTCTACTTATTATTATTGTTATTATTATTATTATTATGTTGAAAATCTTGCTAAGAGGAATTGAAATTGATTCATGCTAAGTTCAGAAACTTATAAATTTATATTTATTGCTTCTTTTTTTTTCTTTTTTTTCTTTTCAGAAACTTTTAAATTTATCTAAGTTAACTAATATAGGGGATAGTAAAAAACCTTGCTGAATTCGGTTGAAATTTTTTAATTTTGGTCTCATTTTTTATTTTAGCATGAACTGAAATAGATTCCATATATGTTTATCTATCTTAAAGTGTTACCTTATGTGATGTTTGCTGGAATTCATGTCAATTTGGAGTTTGATCTTTTGCAGGCTGTCTTAGAAGAAACACATACTAGAACGGTAAGATCATGTGCTTGGTCACCTTCAGGGAAATTGTTGGCCACTGCTAGCTTTGATGCTACCACTGCCATATGGGAAAATGTTGGGGGCGACTTTGAATGCGTTTCCACTTTAGAGGTGTTACTCTTATTCTTATTCTTCTTAGTATCCAGTTATGTTTGTTTTTATTTTCTCTAGAGATTTCAGGCAGTTTTGGTGTCATATGAACACCATTTAAAGCAATTAACCTAGTAAAACATAATTATATTGTGAAATGGTGGCTAAAAGCAAAAGGTTTACAATGTAGAAAGGGATTGAACGATCTACAATATCTTGCTTCTTGCATTCAGCTAGAAGTATTACTTGAAGATGGAAATTATTAATATTTAGATTACATTTCTGTTAATATCTGGTTCATTTCTTGATTATATTGGAACATTTTTTTTACTCTTGTGTATAGGGTCATGAAAATGAAGTGAAAAGTGTATCTTGGAATGCATCGGGTTCTCTTCTTGCGACATGTGGGAGAGATAAAACTGTATGGATTTGGGAAGTCATGCCAGGGAATGAGTTTGAGTGTATTCAAGTTTTGCAAGGCCATACTCAAGACGTGAAAATGGTTCGATGGCATCCAACCATGGATATTTTGTTTTCCTGTAGCTATGATAACACCGTCAAGGTACTGTATTGGCTAATATCTCTTTAATGACCATGGAACATTATTTGCAAACAAGATTGAGAAATTTGATCAAATTGTAAGTTTGTAACACATTCACTTTGACTTGTAGGTTTGGTGGTCAGAGGATGATGATGGTGATTGGAGCTGTGTACAGACTTTAGGTGAATCTAGCCAGTATGATGCCTAGAACTCCATCTGTTCTGTTTCAGCTCATTTTCTTGTTTATTGTACTGCCTGACATGTAGTTTTGTATTGTATCTACCTATTAAGTATTGTGGTGATGTCTTTTAAATTATAGGGTTAAATACAACTTTGGCCACTCAACTATACCCTATCAAACAATGTGGCCATTTAAGAGTTTTCGCTATTGATTTGGCCACTCAGCTTTTGTCTCACCCACATCACACATTGCCTTCATGGAATGAGGACATGGCAAAATTAACCAATAGATGTGTGACATGTGTCACTTTGAAAAATTCAATTTTTTTCAGAAGTGAACAGTAACTGAGCAAAAGATCATTAGGGCAGTAGACTGATAAGGCCACGACAGCATCAATGGATTAACTGGGTATGGCCATAAGCTCAGGCCGGCATCATAGGTGAAAGACGACCTTGGAAAGCCATTGTCTGTGCTCCCATACACTGGTATGTGAGGGAGGGTGTATGGGATATGAGCAGCGCATGGGGGTCACTTGCCCCTGCTCTGGTCACTGAAGTTGGCATATTGGCTGGAAACGGAATGGTGCATCCATCCAAGGCGGCTGTGAGAAAAAAAAATAGCACTGAAGTAGGGACCTAGAAATCAATAAATAAATTGGTGGGAGAAAAGCTGAAAAATCAGATTTTGTTTTGTAAAAAGTGAAGTTTGTCACATATCTATTGGTCAATTTATGCCACACCATCATTCGGTGACGGCAATGGGAATTTAAAGGAAAGAAAGTTGGGAGGCCAAATTGATAGCATAAACTCTTAAATGGCCTCATTGTTTGATAGGGTATAGTTGAGTGGACAAATTGATAGTAAAAATTCTTAGATGGCCACATGTTTGGTAGGGTTTAGTTGAGCGACCATAGTGGTATTTAACCCTAAATTTTATTATACCTTTAAGATTCTTCTCCACTAGTTTATGAATTTTATAGACTACTAAAAACCTTTGGTTTCCATATCTTATGGTCAGTGGTCACAGTTCCACCGCTTGGTCACTTGATTTTAATGCTAAGGGAGACAAGTTGGTAACTTGTAGGTATGTATAACAGCCTTTTCTTTCTAATCTGCAGCAATTGGTATTATAGTATTTTCTGATGGCATCAGAAAAAGAAAAAAAAAGTGAAGTTGTATGATGTGTTAACATAAATTGAACTGATTTTCCAGTGATGATCTCACCCTGAAGATATGGAAAGCAGACGTACCAACGATGCAGTCAGGAGATGGTTATGCACCCTGGTGAGAAACTTGTCGCTTTTTTTTTTAAACTTTCCACCTTTGCTAACTCTTGGTTGTCATCATATCAAATCCATAGCTAGGCTATAAGTGATAAATTCATGGCTTATAATCTTCATTTGAAAGTTGTTAATGTTCATATTTTGATGCCAAGGAACTCATTCTTGCTATTTGAAACTTTGAAGTATCAATATAAAATCTAAGTTATCAACATTGATGTATGGCATTTCTTTTCTTTTATTCTCGTTTATTTATTTATTTTTGATTAATCTGAGGTAAGTACAAGGCGATATCTGTTCAAAGATAATTCTCAACCATTTGACATTAAATGCTCACACCCTTGGTATTTCTGGTGCTCAAACCCGGGTCCTCAAGGAATAACAACAATTCCTTTACCATTGATTTCGCTTGGTTCATGCATACTGATATCCTTCACTTTAATTGTTGTTCAGGAATCATCTGTGCACTCTTTCAGGTTATCATGATCGAACAATTTTTTCAGTTCACTGGTCAAGGTATTGGCACCATTTTATTGTTCAGACTACGTTTATGTTTATTTTTGTGAACGAAAAGGATAATAACCCATTTTTTATTCAATCTTCTAGTTTTTTCCGGAAGCATTTGATTTTAATTGATGAATAAATAATTGTTTAAATAGCAACTTGAAGGTTCAAAAACAATATTATGTGTCATATATTTTATTTAGATCTGTCTAATTTAAATCTTTATTTATCATCTGAACAACTTGATTTTCTTTTGAATTTTAAGCTGAAACTGATTGCATATGGCTTGAGTTACTATTACAGAGAGGGAATTATTGCCAGTGGAGCTGCTGATGATGCTGTACGGTTGTTTGTACAGGGAAAAGATGGTTTGGTGTGTAATTCTTTTAGCATCTTATTCAGTGAGCATATTTATAGTTCATACGTGAGAATTAAAACATGCTTCAGTATCAGTTTGTTGGTTACGTAAATGCTGAATACCAGCCAAACTGATTGGGCAAATTGTCCTGTTGTACATGTTGAATTCTTGGCTGGATAATCATCTCTGCCCCTGCCACTGCCCCCTTTATACTTATTTAAGTTTCAAAAGTGGCAATTCAGCCTGTTGATCTATATTTTGGTTTTACTTCAGATGAATGAACCTTCATATCAATTGCTATTGAAGAAGGAGAAGGCCCATGACATGGACATAAATTCAGTACAATGGTGCCCTGGGGTAAGATTTGCTTTCTTGAAAAATTAATTAGGCCTTGAAGATTATTGTATGTGCTTTCATGTTCAGTATACAAAGGAAGAAGTGAATGTCACAAATTACGTAGTTTCTTTTTGCATGGTAGAGTTTCTGGTTGTTGGCTCAGTTTTTTCGCATCGCTTGAACTTATTGCCTAATGATTGATTTTGAAATGATAGCAAAACCATGCAGAAATTATTGAAAACAAAAAATAACAATTGGAATTATAAATGTCCATTCGAATAAGAGCTTTACTGATCTGATCTGAATTTTCTAAACTGTAATTCCCATCAATTGTCTACTTAGCAGCCTAACCAGTATATGTTGAGTTAGAACTTTCTTATAATTTCACATTTTTCTCTCTAGTTAGCTACGGCGTCTTCGTTTTTTTATTTTACGGGGATTATTTCTTTCAGAGCTGTGGTAATGGAGGCCTTAATAAAAAAGAATGATAATGGTAATAAACGGAAAGGTTATGCTAAACCTGCGAGTGTATGTTAAAATGGATTTTTCTTAGAGTCTCAACTTAGGCTAACATTTCTGCTTTCATTATGGTTGAAAATAGCAGGAAAAGCGTCTCCTTGCTTCTGCTAGCGATGATGGGACAATAAAGGTGTGGGAGCTGGCAACTTTGTCGTGATCAAAATTTCTCATTTCGGGAATCCGTATGATTGCGGTGTGGATAATTATATATTTAGGAAACATGGTTGCAATAATAGTCGAGCAGAATTGTGGTATAATTGCAAAATTCGACAACTTTAGCCATCTTCTCGTCAAAATCTGATTGTTTAGGCGGCCAGTTCTTTTTTACTGATCTGAAACATGAATTTTTGTTCGTATAACTATGAAGCAAGCCGATGTTAGGAAATAGGAAAATATTATAAATATTTTTTTTAATTAATCTGGGATGATTACAAGATAATATCTATTCAACATCTTTCTTAACCATTGAAAATGTACACACCTTATAAATACAGTTGCTTGAGCCTTAGACTTCTAAAAGAGAACAATGTTCCGTCACCATTGAGGTCATATGGGTTTTGGGTTTTGAATTTTAAATTTATAAATGCCATTTTGTTTGAATGAATTAACTAAAATATGCTTGTGCCCAAACTCGAATATAAATACAGAGGGTAAAATACAGTATATATTATTGAAGTATAGATTATTGAAGTATGTTGAAGTAACTGTTGTATGGCACTTAACACGAGCTCTTAAAATAATCTGAGTGAGGCATAAGTAACTGCGTTGGTTGAGAGTTGAGACACTGTGCAGAGAACCAATCAAGCTCTTGGATAGCCTGAATGTCCTTTCTTCAGGAACTCGGGGACGTCCAAATCACCTTCATTGAAGGATGGCCACCGGCTAATTCCAACACCAGTATCTCCTTGTGCTTCTGCACTTAATTGGAATCCTGTATAGATTGGCGTATCAGAGTTATACTTACCTAAATGAAGACCCAAGATGATGTTTGTCATCAAATTAATGATTCATATTGAGGACCATGAATGTTGCAGAGTGTGGTCTTGGTGGTCTGTAAAAAAATGCCTCATTTATGTGTCCTAATGATGATTATGATCACCCTAATGTGGCTTTCGTTATCAATTCCAACAGTTTGCTTTAGTGTCAATGTGACTTGTTCATCTTATGCATATCCTTATCCTACATAACTTTGCATATTTAACTTAATGAAAATTCAAGAATGACTAAATAAGCTTGGAGGAAGCATTGATGAGATCCTACTGCCAATCTTATTGTTAGAGATAATTTGCTAAGACGTATAAACACAATGGCAAGACATCTCTTGTGTGTCCTAGACAGACAGTGAAGTTCATTTCTTGCCTAATATTGTGGATGTTTAATTTATTGACTTACTGTTATATTATAGAATTACAGTTAGACGGGTGACATTAAAGATCTAAAATTTCACAACAATAATTCCTCTATCGACGATTACATTACTCTTTTTCGGAAATTATTTTCTATATTGCTGCTGATTGTTCAAACGAAAGATCCTTTATAGCATTGCTACTACATCATATATGCATTAAGTAGGTCGCATTGATAATGGTGACACTTCTCTCCATTTAAAGCCTCTCAACATCTAGTGAGTCTTCCGTTCGTCATCGTAGACATTGTTGTAACTCGTCCATGTAATTAATCAGATCTTACTGAATTGGCTGGTGACGTAATTTATGATTTACTAGTTCCTCTGATCTGCTTGGTGCCTACTTCTGATTCATCATTTGATTCATTAAATTTCGTTGATTCATTCACTTGTTTTGCTTTTTGATGTGTTTCAAATTCTAGCAACTCTTCAAGGGTTTCATATTTAGTGGTTTCCCATGGTGGTTGTCCTAAAGAAAAACATGCAGAAAGAAGAAGTGTAGACTGTAAAAGAAGAAGAAAGAAGTTTTGGTTATATAAAATTACACTATTCAAATAACATATGTACGTTACTAGATCAGAAATTCAAAGAACGAAAGATACATTGATGTGATCCTACTCAAGCACTTATTGTTGTTCAGCATTCTTTCATCTTTTATCACAAGGATAAAATAAGAGGAGCTTTTACTTAACCTACACTTCTTTACATATTCTTTGTTATAGATGTTTATGCTACCTATGTCATTCATATTATTCTATGCCTTGATTGTTATGTCTTGCATATCATACGTTATCATGTCATGAGTATACCTTATAATATGCATCTTATATTAGAACTCATGTTCTTATACTTTAGTCCTTATATTATGCATATTACCTAAGTTACATGAATGATTATATGTTTCACATCTTTATACTTAGCTATGTCATGCATATTTCATGTTACACATCATTTACCTATGTTTACATATCATTTGCATACTTAGTATAGGCGTGTATTATGTTTCTTTATTGTTCTTAGCTTCTTGTTATCTAACTTAGTGTTTTCAAGACTCTCATAGGTGCAAGACTTGAATATGAAAGCTTTGCCAGCTCATGGAAAAATAATGATAGCTCACCAAGCTTAAAGGAGCTCAACACCAAGCTAAGCCAACTGAACTAGTTGAATGGGAGCTAAACCTAGTTGGGAGGGAGTTGAGGACAAAGTAGTTGACCAGTGGAGTGGAGCTAGCTGTAGGGGAACTGGAGTGTGAGCTGAGTAGATGGAGTGACACTAGACACCTAGCTTGGACTTACCTAGCTGTAACTTACCTAGTTAGCTACCTAAGGCATCACCTTTGGTGCCAAGACACGGTTATGTGCAAGGTACACCTTTGGCCGAACCATCACAAGACTTTTCTGCCAAAGGAGAAGTTACTTACCAATGGAGGCGGCCATCCAAGCCAAGCATCTTCATTATTTGGTCAAGTCTTCACCAAGAATCATTGTCGAATCATCACAAGCCTTCATTTATTCATTATAGCTGAACCATCATTACCATTCGACTTTTGAGGGACATGAGTATAACACCCCGAATATCGGCCTAGTAGTTTCTTGTCAACCCAATAATTTATTTAATAGATCATTTGTATCATGAGGTTCTTTTGGTTCGATTTTGAGTTTAACCGAATAAGAAATTAGCCATGTAGAAGTTAAAAAGGGGATTTTTAAGCTTAGGAAGAAGATAGAAGGACCAAGAGTGTAATTATACCATTGAAGAAAAACATGGCTGATTTGGGAGGACTTTTAGCTGATTTAACGTGGGTAAGGGAGCTTTAGGCTGACCATTTTTCTCTTTATCTTACCCAAAACTTCTCTTTCTTCATTCTGTCTTTTTTACTCATTCTTTCTTCTTCATTCAAGCTAGATAAATGGGAAAGCTTGCACATTTCTTCATTTCCTTCGTCAATCCAAAATTTAAAGGTAAGATTCTTAATCTAGGGTTCTTAAGCTTTTTGAATAGCTCACCATCTTCTTTAATGGTGGCCATGAACTCATTGTAGGTTTTGGGAGGGTTTAAGCTTTAAGAGCTTCCTCCCATGATTTCTATTTGATTTTCATGTAGTTTAATTGTTGTTTAACACCTAGTGTCCTTGATTTTCATGTTGGAACCGACTGGTGGCTTTTGAGTGATGGAAAAATGGTGCAAGAACCCCCTTAACCTAAGTCAAGGAAAATTTGATCATTGGATAAGTTATAGAAGTTTTTGAGTTGCTAGGAGCTGAGGTAACACACTATAACTCTTCCTTACCACTTGTAATGTTATCTAAGTGAATATGGTTGCATGTATGGGGTAAGAAAAACATGTGGGGGTTTGTTTAGTTCAGAAGCATGCTAGAGTAATTTCCATGGAAAGATTCGTATTTGTGTGTTGCAAGCATGAAAATTAATACCTTTTGACCTTTAAGACACTAAATAAGATGCTAAACATGTTTGCTAGTCTTAGGGGAATTGTTTGGTTGATTTTTGTGTGTTTTATGAGATTAATCAAGTCATTCCTAGAAAAAGGATTACTTTTCCCTCCACCAAAATGATCGATCCCAAACTTTTTGTTTTGCAAAGGATCGATCCATTTCCAAAAGGATCGATCCCTCGAAAAAAAAGATCGATCCCTCGACCGAAAAGACCAATCCCAAACTTTCTGTTGTGCAAAGGATCAATCCCTTTTCAAAAGGATCGATCCCTCGGGGAAAAAGATCAATCCCTCGAAAGAAAGGATTGATCACTTCGTTGTTTTGCTCAATGGAAAAGGGTGAAATTTCATTCTTTAGGGGTCTGAGGTATTGAGAAATATGGTCTGGACCTCATCATTTTTGAATGAGTTCAATTTGGTCCATTAATTGATTTGCTTAAATACTTAAACCCTTAATCTGGATATCATAAATAATGAACAACTCGACTTATAACGTTATGAAATAAAGTGACATAAAACTAGTCTTTGTTTGATACTAGGGAAACAACTAGGACACCCGAGTTACTCTAGCATTATGTTATGTTATGTTATGTTATGTTATGTTATGTTATGTTATGTTATGTTATGTTATGTTATGTTATGTTATGTTATGTTATGTTATGTTATGTTATGTTATGTTATGTTATGTTATGTTATGTTATGTTATGTTATGTTATGTTATGCTATGCTATGCTATGCTATGCTATGCTATGCTATGCTATGCTATGCTATGCTATGCTATGCTATGCTATGCTATGCTATGCTATGCTATGCTATGCTATGCTATGCTATGCTATGCTATGCTATGCTATGCTATGCTATGCTATGTTGATATCGGGATATCTTTTGTTTGGGTACGCATCCGACGCACATAAATTTTGGGTCGTATTGATACGAATTCTGATGCACGTAAATTCCAGAATCACACCTTATGCTCGAGAGCCCAAATATGTGGATCATGATGTGAGCTTCAAATACACGTAAATTTCGGACCCCTGATCTCTTGAGGATCCGTGGTAGACTAAGGGCTACAAGTTTCCGATGCACATAAATTTCGATTCTTACCTGAAGCTATTGTGTTTTAGATAGGCTAGTATGTTGTCCAAGATGCACATAAATTCCTCCGACCTCATGGCTTGACCTATCTCATGTTTGTTGATATGTTTCAGTATATTCATGAGATGTTAGGTAAGCTATGGGTGTCATCTTGAGATGCACGTAAATTCCTCTAACCACACCACTAGACTTACCTCAGGATGTTTAAGTGTATTTGCATGCACATATTTTCATTCGTCAACATGATCATTTGATGAATGCATGTAGTATGGTAGATGAATTGTGTGACGATGGGCTTGCGAGCTCAACGTTTCGAATGTGTTTCTGTTCGTAGGTTTCAGGTTTCATGGATATCGATGGGATAACGAGATCATCAGAGGAGTCTCAGTAGAGTACCAGAGTATGACAATGTCAGCTTAATAGGCATGTAGAGGTCA